TTAGTCGAAGACGACGAATGACTTTCACTCAAAACGTTGAGTTTCTCCTTATATTTTTCAAGTAGTTGCATTCCTGCTAATGAAAGCTTTGTTCATCTGACTTTCCCTCGATATTGTTTTTTACCAAATTACTGGCATCCAATATTGCATTGCACTCTTGATGACGTTAATACACCAAATGCTCATCAGGAATGTAACTGTTTACATAAACAAAATCCTGTACAGATATGGTATGCTTTAAAAATAAATGTTTTCAGTATTGTTCTGGAGGTTAGCACTTGGCATATGGGCTGTGATTGTAAAAGTGCTGCACTTGGGATTGCATACCTCTAATAGTTGCATTTTTTGCAATGATTTTCAGAATTTTTTCTCGTCTCAAACTGTCCAGGAAACTTATAGTTTTGTTGCTATTTTTGTTTTTAGGTGTTAGCTGAACTTCAGATAATTATAATCAAGTATGATCTGTAAGTAATATTATATGTTCTATCACTTCTATGTAGTTAAATGTGCATTGTCTTGTGTCAGTTCAGATGTAGGCTGAACTGGGTTTGAAAAATAACCGAAACCAATACACTGATTAATGATCAAACTGAAAATTTAGATATCTTTGAAATTAAGAAAATAGTTAATTAAACAAATTATTACGGCATAATTCCAGGTCCAATGTTGACATGTGTTGGGTGCCATTGTAACTCATCATGATTAATTAAATTAATGATATTATTCCTTGTTCTACCTCAAGAATGAGGGTCCTCTGCATGCTCTGGTGCTGAGTTGTGTCTGTCATGTGTGCCGCCGGCATCAATCCATCCCTGTTATAGCTTGTACACTTTGTTATGTTATTTGTAGTATAGTGGATCAGGTGGGGGGGATTTAGTTGGTACAATATAGGAGAATTCATGTTTCGCTCGCTACTCTGGTTTAAATAAATGATTACAAAGCCCAGTCGAATTGTAATCAAGACCCAACGTTTCGACACTCCAGTCTAGTGTGTTCATCAGGGGTGATCTAAAATTGCAATCTGCCAATGAGATGCCAATGCACCTGCCAATGAGATGCATACAGTATATTCCTCTGGCAAATAGGCACCGTCATCCCTATTCAAAGCATGATAACTCATATTTATATGCCACGCTTCTAGGCAAAGTCTTTGACCATATCGATTGTTTGTGGTAATTACTTTAGAGAGTTTCCCACGCAATCTCGTGTTTGTACCTGCTGAGCCAATATTAGGAAATTTGCTGTTTTAAAAAGTTGTACCCAAGGAAAAGGGAGAAATTTTAGGTTTAATTTTGGCATTTTTTGCGATATGTGATGTGTACAATTATCACATCTGACGTGTATAGTACAATAATCGAAAAACTCGGAAACGACAAGGCATATGATTTTTTTTCAATTACAACATATAAAACTATGTTTGATATACTGTTTTACTGTGTCATTACGTGTAAAATTGGCTAAGGCCCGGTTTAGACGCCGTGCTTTTCATGAGCCGAACTTAATTCATATTTTACTCGAGTAAAATAGGCGTACTTCCAATTTTGATTTAGACAGGCAGGCTTTTCATGAGCCGTACTTAATAATTTGCGCTGCTTCACTTTGAAACCTGGGGCGAGTGACATTTCATAATAAGAAAAAAGGGTTTATCACATACAATCTTGGCATTTCTGAGTGTCTGCAGGTTTGCGGTTATTGAAAATTTCAATTTCTTGTCGAAAAGCCTTATTACTACAAACATAGCCTAATGCCTGGATATAATGTGTGGGAAAACGAGATCTATTGGCTTAGGGCGAGTTTTTCCACGTTATTCGAGTTCTCCCAAACTACTACAAGTGTTTCTATAACTTTATGGGTCATACTTTATGTTTTATATTTATTTCATAATATAACTAAAAAAAGATTTGTAGTAGACTCGATATGTTTACAAATTCTCATTGCGTAATAATGCCGACCTTTGCTCCATCAATTTATTACAAGAAACCCTTTTTGCCTTTATCAGCAAATATCACTATAAGCCTAATTTCGCAACTTTTATGCAAAGAGTCTAACGAAAGGTGTATCCTTTGCTACAAATTGACGTATATAAAGAAAAGAAAGGGAAATTCTACCGCGATATTTTCCGATAAAGCGGTATTAAATCACTACAGAAAAAATAAAACAAATTACAGAAATACAAAACAATCCAGAAGCGGAAGTGGTAAGGTTTTTGTATTTTGACTGTACTAAACAATTCTTAATTTGCATTAAAATTGTTTTGTTTATGATTGTAAGTTTAGGCGGGAAATTTCCCGTGTAGAAACACGCTTCTCGACCAATCAACGCACTCGTACTATAAATGTTCTATTTTATCATAATTTATGCATTTGGTACGGCTCATGTAAAGCACGGCAGTATAAATCAACATGTGCTTCAGCCGTGTAGCACGCCTGAACCAGGCGAACTTTTTAATTTAGCCGTGCTTAATATTAAGTGCAGTGCTTAATTGATTTAGACGCCGTGCTTCTCATGTGCTTAATTCATTGTATTAAGTTCGGCTCATGAAAAGCACGGCGTCTAAACCGGGCCTAAGATGTTTCAAGGTAATTACTGATTATGACTTGCTGGTATTAATTTGAAAATGTTTGCCAAAATTCGTCCTGTGCGAGTTGCCGCTATCGTCCGATGTTTTCGCAAAACCCCCGTTCAAATTTTAGTTTTTATGGTGGTATGTTTGTGGAGTTTCGACCTTGCTCATTTCACTCAGAGAGGGCTCATTATTTAAGTCATCTTTATTTTCAGAAGTGCTCCTGCTAGATTATGCAGAAAACACTGCACATACTTGAGGAAACTAAGTATATTATATCTCAATGTTCGCGATGCGACCCTCGCGTACGGCAATCAAGAACGTCCAGATAACCTCTTACATTATCGCTTTCTTGAACATCACGTTTAAGTATCGTTGTGGATTTTAAAGCTCTTTTTTTTTCTTATAACTACTGTAAAGTTTACGCATTTGTTTCGAAAAAGAGTTTCATATATTATCTCAGACCTAGCGTATTAGCGGCTTTCCTATTGGCTAAGAGGAGGTGCGTTCAATCTCTTATCCCATACCTGTGTTAAAAGCGGCTTTCTGATTGGTTTAGAGCAGGTGAGCTTGTCGTCGAGCTCACCTGCTTTTGCCGAACTCACCTGCTTTTCGCCCGAACTCACC